AACCGATTTTGATGAAATTTTATATGTAAGTTTGTTTCCACCATGGCACGGATCGATCAACTTTTGGTATATATCAGGCCTCGGGAACTGCACTTTTTAGCGGGCCTGTTTTACATTTTTGAACATTTTGAAGAAAATATTCAACCGATTTAGTTGAAATTTTATATATAAGCTCAGTTCGACCGTCAGCAAAAATTCGTATGGTTCGGAAGAAATCAGGCATCGGCAACTAGACGTTTACTACGGGCCAAATATACATTTTTGTGTATATAAAGAGAAATAATCAACCGATTTCATTGAAATTTAATATATGAACTCCTCGTATTAAAACAATGAACATATAAATTTTTTGGAAAGATCAGGGCTGGAAAACTGATCTGCGGGCCGATTTTACATTTTTCACCATATCCACAGAACGAATTGATGGAATTTCTTGAAATTTGATATTTGAGTTCTGGTTGTTACCGAAACTAACTGGAGAGCATTTCAGGGAATTCGGGTAGCACAAAGCGAAACTCTGCTAAGAGCCAAATTTACATTTTTCTAGGTATGTTAACTATAAGCTTCCTAATGTCCTAAAAATTGGAAAGAGGTATTTAACAGACACTTTTATAATATTCTGTAACACTTTCATTTAACTAGACAATACACAATGCCGTCGGTTATGTGCTGACCACATCAGATTTTTTATTATAAAGTTTATATTGCAACTAAGAAAGTAATTCCCATCTAGCAATTTTTTCCTGGGTTGATATGTGGGTTATAGGTGCATCTCGATGTAGTGTCGTTACTTATGTACCATGGCGCATTAGCAATGATTCTCTAGACTTTATTTTGAAAGGTTTGAATAATTTTAATATTGCCGTCTTTAGTGCCGTCCCAGAGTTGTATACCATAAATCCGTATTGGCTTAGGAACCTGGTTGTAAAGCAAGAATTTATTATGTATATTGAGCTCATAGTGTTTTCCTAGGAACCAATACATCTTTCTGAGTTTGGTTTCAATTTTGCTTTTTTCTTTTTTATGCTCCTTTCATTAATTTTGCATACTTCGCTTCGTTGGCCTATGGAACTTCTATACCATTAAGTAGGACCCCAATCAGTTCGTCCATTTTGTTGGTATAATTTGAATGAAACGATTAAGATTCATCGAGCTGGAATATCCATTTTGCTATTTCTTTACAGTTTCAGCTTTTATTAAATCGTGTCCTGGGGACCCTTCATTTCTTAGGATTTTGATCTCAGCTCTTAATTCGCCCATGTTGATATTCGCAATTTGGATAGGGCAATTAGGTTTACTGCAGTTAAGTTTTCTTCTGATGTTTGGGTAGCAGCACAAAGATTTTTAAATGCAAAAATAATTTTTAATATGCAAAATCATTTGCTTTATCTGCATCATTCACTATCCAAGACCCATCGTCTTTTCTAATTTGGGCCACTTGATATTTGGGTCTTTTGACATTTTTAGAAGCCTTCGACAAAGAGTAATCATGTGCCTTATCGGCAAATAAATTTCTTATGTAGTTGGCTATAGATTTCCCAGTTGATTAACACGGCTTTTGTTCTGTAGTAAGCTTGTGATTTGCCATATTTTACGTGCTTTTCTTTTGAAGATTTCTTACCCTTTAGAAGTAAGGGCAAGAAGTAGAAGTAAGCTTTAATATAACACAAGCAGAATTTTGTGCGTTTGTAATGAATATATCGACTTCATTCTCGAGTTGGTGTTCATTTCTAAAAGGTATGTTAACAAGGGTGCCATTTTCGAGTATACTTTTAAATAAATCCCAGTTGGTTGATCTGTTTGTTCAGAGATCGTAACAATAATTGAAGAGTGGTCAGAGTTTAAACTGAAACTTTCATTGTCGTGTATGTAATTCTCGGACACTCATCTTCTTATGAGAAAATTTAAAAGATCTGAAATTCTATTTCTGTCGGTCGGCTAATAGGTAAGCTTACCCGTAGAGTGGAAAGCACAACCCAATCCAGCTGCTGCTTCATATAAGGCCCTACCTTTGGGAGTGGTGAGTCTTGATCCCCAGAAAGTATTTTTAGCATTAAAATTGCTTTTCACCCATGTCCTTCAGCATTGATCTATAGTCACCTATTTTTAAATTGTTTCTTGGGGGACAGTAGGCGGAGGAGATCCTCAATTTTTTATTTTATTAATATTAATTTTGACCGAATTCACTTGCTTCGTTTGCTTTTCAACACTTACACGTCTGATGTATTACTTTTGACAAGAATTGACTTGCCTTAGCTTTATTATTTGGGCGAACTGCGTTATAACACTTATAATCTTTTATTTCTACGTGATTTTTTTTTTGTAAAGTGGGTTTCTGTAACTGTTTTTTTCTCAATTATTTGAGGTGTCACAGGCGCATTCGTATTCTTTGGTCTAGCCTTGGATATGGGAAAAGCTCCAGAAGGAGTTAAAGATTTTTGTCTTGAATTTGGTGTCCTTCTGCGTTGGTGTTCCTTAGTAATTTCACATCCTCTATAGTAGGCAGGATGATCTCCATTACAGTTGGAACATTTTGGTGGAGTATTTCGGCTTTTGTTGCATGCAAAAGTAAGATGATTTGCACAACATTTTACAACTCCTGGGATTTTTTTTGCAGTAGGATTTGGTGTGATTGAATTCCTGGCATCTTGTACACTGTGGTATAACTTTTGTCTTTTTCCTTTACTGTCTCAATTTTCACTTTTAGGTTTAGGATCGATTGGATGTTATATATTTTTTGAGTATCCGGATTTTTTATCGACTGTTAGCATGAACAAGGATAATTTTTTTGTTGTGGACGACAATTTCTCCCATGTCATTTTCTGACCTCTCCTTTTTATGATATTAGTTGGATGTTTGACTTCAAAACCTTGTTGAAGAAGATCATTGATATATCATTTTCTGCATACGACCAATGTAATCCCATACACTTTAATAGACTTTAATCGGTCTATCATTTTTATCTTCATATGAAACTTCCTAACTTAAGTTCTTCTAGCTTTTTAACTAAAGTGCGATAACTTAGAGGGCTTTCAGTGTTAACTTTGAATACGTTGTTAGCCGATACAGTTATCTTATAGTTTGTTGTGACAATTATCAGCAATTTGCCCAGCTTGAAGTAATCAGTAATCCCCACAATATTAACAGGAGGTGGTCTGTGAACGGGTATCCAATAGCAAACTAGGTACATTTGGTTGATACTTTGCAATTGGTTGCTGAACAGTAACCACTTCAGGGGATGATTTAGTTTTTCTCTTTTTACATGGTGTTTTCTCTTCCATTTCTGAATCTTGATTTCGCTTATTTCTTTTCTCACAGTAAGAAGAATTTGCTCCGTAAAATTATTTTTTGGCGACGCTTTTTATTTTCTTCCTCAAGTAGATTTCTGGACCTCTTTAAAGTATCTAGGTTCAGATTCGAAATGGGCGAGATTGTTGCATTAGCCCCGTTTTCAATATTGTTGGCTGAGTCCGATACGCGCCCGTAACTTGTTGTTAAGAGTTCTTGGTGTTAAATTACTCCGGCAGGAAATATTATAGGAAAGCAATGTTGCCCCCCCCCCCCCCCTGCCCCCTCCCGGAATCCATGGGGTCGATCTCCGAAGAGAGTGGATTTTCTAGATCAATTGGTCTTCCACCTGGCGTTACAAATCCCTTTTTTTCGACATTACATATTTTTAAAGTTGTAGAGTTTGGATGCACATTTATAAAGCACGCCGCTTACTGCAAAATAGACGCCCATCTGGAGCCGCCAATTATAGAAACACACGCTCCAATTTAAGCTTTGATGTCATCTCCACTTGACCGCAAAAAAAAATACAAAATAAAAATTAAAACATCAAAATTCCACATTATTTGGATGAAATACTTTAAATTTAAGAATCTTAAGCTATCTGATTTAAAACATTTATGTTAAACATTTCTTTTGTGGACGTGGATAACTAAGTTTTCATTAAAAGTAGTGCCGAACGTACGCTAACTGTATGTCAACCATTTTAAAAAAATTAACTTATCACAAATAAAATCACAAAAGTTGTATGTGGGTTATTAGCCTCAAGTAAGTGGGTTATTAGATATTAGCCTCAATGTGGGTTATTTCAGCTTCAAAATATTTCAGTTTTCTAAACAAATTTTTTGCTACACGAAGTTGAACAATACCGTCTAAATCAGTTTTTCAATTTTTAACCTACTTATTAATATCTTGTCTTTTGCTTGTGAAACCTGGGTAATTTTACTTGTTTAAAAAAAAAAATACTTTTCTTTTTATATTTTTAGCAAAAAAATATAACAATTTATTTTGGATTACAGGTTTTAACTCCTTGTTTTCTATATTTTACATGTTTACATTTTCTCTTTGGAAGTCATGAGATTTTTTTTTTTTTTTTTGTGAACGACCATTTTACAATCCAGAAACCGAAATATATATTCTGTTTTTTGAAAATGTCAGTTTTCCTAAATTTCCAAAGCATTTTCTTAAATGTCGAGGAAAAGGTGAAAAGAACAAAATATGTATTATAAACAAACGAGTACAGTATATTTGAAAGCATAAGTACTTACAGCTATATATTTCGAACGTATTTTTAAATAAATTAATAAGTATGCTTAGTATATAACCGGTAAGAACCCAAATAGGAATTAAGAAGAATTTCAAAACTTTATTTATTAAACATGCTCCTATTTGGAAGAAATCCTTGATATCTTTGGATCAAAAAAAAAAAATACGAACCTAATCAAAAAACGTACATATTCCACGATCTGGAAAGAAAACAAGTTATACAGAAACTAAATAGATAAGTACATAAATAAAATTGAAAAAATTCTAAAAAATTGGTTTATTGAAAGCCATATTTCTTTTGACTCCATGCGAAATGTTAATTTCTTGACATGTCTTGCATTACATTTGGTATTTACTTTTTCACAAATTTCACAATAAATCCAATATATGTACATTTTTTTTAGTTTGAAGATTTGTAATGTTTAATAAAACTGTTTATTTTTCAGGAAAACAAGGATATGAGGCTGCAAATGTAACAGGTCCAAATGGAGAAAATGTAAAAGGTAGTCAATTTGCTGCTGATAAACATCGGTTCCGCCGTTCGTTTAAAAAAGGTCGCGGTCGATCAAGTGTTCAGAGGGGAGGAGGTGGCAGTGGGAGTCAATCGGGTAATGAAGGTCCAGATGGTTCAGGTTACGATGGTCAACAAAGGGGGCCATTAAGACAACGTGGAAGTAATCGTGGTGGTTTTGGAAGAGGTTTTGGAAGAGGTCGCGGTAGGGGTGGTGGACGCGGTAGAGGTTTTGGTTTAGGTTATAAAAATTTTGGAAGACGTATGGAAAGATCTGAGAATAATGATGGGAGTATGAATGGTGGACAACAACCGCCCCCGCAACAAAATAGTGGTCCACCAAGGCAACGTGGTGGTAATGGACAACGTGGAGGAGGTCCACGACGCTTTTTCCCAAGAAATAATAATTTTAGACAAAATAGTGGGGGAGGATTTCAACAAGCAGGTGGTCCATCTCCACAATCAAGAGGTGGTCCTCCAAGGGGAAGAGGTGGTGGAGGATTCAGAAGGAATTTTAGAAGACGAGGAGGCCCAAGAAGAAGTGGACCACAGAATGTAGGTCCAAATCAACAGTAAATGATTAAATTTAATGGAAAAAACAACAAACATTTCGAAAAATATATTAAAATTCATTTCGTCTATCTTTTCATGTAACATGGAAGTGTACGATAAAATACTTCTACCCACCTTACAATTTTTTTGTTTCGTTTTTTTTTTTTTTTAGTTTACAAAAGCGATTTTATCCTAACAAATTTTATTATTCTAATTTTCACTTATTTGTAACCTTAGAGCAAAAATAGGAGAACATTTAAGCTTATATGAAATAGATTTTAAAAATAAAGAATACCATTTTTAAATCTCTTATTTTTGTATACTTTATTATATACATATGAAACTAGCGTTGCATAATATATATTTATACGAAAATAAAATAAATGTTGAAAGGAAACAAGCAGTTTTTATTCTCAAAATTGTACTCAAAATGTTGATAATGAAATACATTTATAATAGCAAATACGATTTGGCATTTATAGCGCAATTCGTTTTAAGTTTTAATTTATATAGTCGCTAAGAATATGTTGGTAGTGAATTATTCTCATTATTTTTTCTATTCTACAGGGAGATTCAGTAAAGATAACAGTATTATATATCATTGGTTAGGGCATCGAAAATGTAAAGTTTTTTTTTGTCTAAGCTTTTTTACTTAAAACTTCCCTTCCGAAAAAGATAGGGGCCTCAAATGAAGAGTTTCTGAAACGACTACTAAAGGGCTTGAAAGCAAAATATTACTTGATTTTGTATTTTATGTACTTTCGGAATACCCTGCTTTCGAACTTTGGGAAAACACAATTTCTTTTTATCCCTACAATTTTTCATGAGAGTTTCAGAAACGAAAGTTTTTTGTTACAAACCCCTCTATTATGAACATCGGTATCGGCCGATATATTATCGGCAGTTCTCATCGGTTTTGGGTTTCTTCTGTATTATGAACCGATACCGATAAAAATATTTCAACCGATTAAAAGAAGCTTTTTCATACAAATTTTTGTTTTTGTAAATTGGAGAAAATGTTTTTTTTTCTAATGACATTTGTTTTCTTTCAAAAGTTATTTTCAAAAAATTTTTAAAACTATTTTGAATTTGGTTTTGATGTGCTAAAAAGTTGTAGTAAGAAAATTATTTTCTGTTAAATTTGTAAAATAAAAGTATACATATATCGGGAAAATGTCACGTGCATTATATTTTGAAAGTGAAGAAACGGTAGTAAGTGAAGAAACGCAAGCTATTCAAAGACGACATATAAGAGATTCAACTAATCCATTGGATTTAGACAACAAAATGTATGTTTATGTACCTATTTTATTTTATTATTTATATAATATGTACACATTTTTTAGGTTTATCCAGAATTTCAGATTATCATTCCTTGCCAGGTTTAAGTCCTCTTCCATTTTTTCTACTAACCGCGCAATTTGGTTTTTGTTGCTTACGATTTTACTCCTAAATAAAATATATGAATAACATTTTGAAAGAAAATAATTTAGAAAAAATGCTTACATTTTAAAAAAGCAATTAATTACACCAGTTTCCTTGATAAAATGAAGATTTTACAAAAAAAAAATCTGTCGTCTAAAAATTTGTACCCGCTTTTAAATCGGTGAAAACCCGACAATTTATCGTTTTCATAATACCAGCTAATACGTTTCCTATACAGGGAAAAAAAGCTTTCCCGACTCCGATAAAATTTACCGATAAACAATGTTGGTAATACAAACACAAAATTTTGCCGATAAATTATCGTTTATCGGCCGATACCGATATACATAATAGAGGGGAAAATTTTGGCCACCTTCATAAGTTTTAATTCAAGTCCAACGATAAATCTTTTATGTTACAGGAAATATAGAATAAAAACCACTTTTATGTTAAGATTTTAAGGGCCCTAATGAAATTTAAAAAATCAAAATATTGTCACTAATCTTGTTTTTTATTGATTCTAAGTGCCGTAATTATAAATTATTAATAATTTTTGACGACAATAGTTACTTTGAAAAGCAATTGACATTTTTAAGAACTCTTGTTTTGGTAAAAAATGAACTTTTAAGTATTTTATTGAAATACAAAAAATTTTAGAGAAAAATCTATCATTGGCGCAATTAAAAATTGTTTTGTATTTTTAAAACAACGAGACTCATAAGTACCATCTATTTCTTCTTGTGGTACGCTGTCTGAACATTGATGTTTTTTTATTATGTTCTATTGTAAAAACTTTTTTATTTCGCAGTTTATATTTGGTTATATGTACGTATTTTTGAATTTGGAGTTGATTAGCTATTTTCTATTGCGATTAAAATAAATAAATAATTTGAAATATTCAATTTTTAAAACTAGAAACAATATCTACTTATTATTTATTTCAACGGCAGGTTCGTGCAACCCAACGATACTTTTAAGTACCAGCAAAAAATTTAGATCTTCCAAATATTCAAAATTTATGAAACTTTTATTTTTAAATAAAAATAGTCTAATAATTCATATTTTAGAAAAAAAACTATATATTTTCAGCTATTTAGGGCTTGGGCCCGTAAAGGATTAAGTGCGTATCTGAATTTGGAAAATATCTTAAGCTTCCCTGGCAATAATTTAGAAGATCTGGCATTAAGCTTTAGTCAATGTGTTTTGAATTCACATTGCGAAGAAATGGCTCAATTATAATAATCTGTGAGATATAAAAGACTTGCTACAACAATTTATTTTAATATCATAAAACTAATTGGTAACATTACTTAAATTTTTATGTTTTAAGGCAATTAACAGTGGATTTTCAATAATTTAGACTGCATATTTTACTTTGCACATTTGTATCGTATTTGAGTAAAATATCCAACATTTTTCTACTTTGCTCTTTTAATTTAAAATATTTTTGCAGTAGCTATAAAAAATCATTAAATTCCTTTCGAACTTAAACAACTGCTGTTTTCGAACATGCTACTTTTGCAGTTTGAATTTAGCTAACATGTTTTATATTAAAATCTAAGTTAGAACAGAACCATCAAAAATCCCCAAACCTTAATTACGAACGTTTACTCTTCTTCAGTTACAAGCTTTATCAAATAATGTAGAAACTGAAGTTGCGTTTTTATTTTTAAAATTTATTAACTTTAAAAGCGGAATTTTCAAATATCCAATTTTGATTAAATATCAGTTTGTCAATATTTATATATTATGTAATACGGGAAAATTCTTGTTACTCGAAAATTACATAATAAAAATATATGGTATACGTAATCATTCACGTTTCTCATTTAACGAGTACACACTATCAAAAGCATATGCTATAAATAATATGAATTATATAAATATTTAAAATAAATTATTCAAAGAATTAAGGTTTTTGGGAATCGTTTTGGATGACTAGATAACTTAGAAGTAAGGTTTTTAGGAATAATAGCAAGCTTTAAAAACAAATACTTCCACTATTAGAATAACTTGGTTGATTTTTCAAATGGATTTACGGATTCTTTACTCTATTTATTATCAGTAGATAACGAAGGACATGATATTAGTTCAAGATTATACTGATTTTTTTCCAATACTCTTAGCAACTTTGATTGCTTCAATTATAATGAGAAAGTTTTTTTTTAAAGTTAAAATTTTTTTAAAGTTATTAAAATTTCAACGATTTTTTATTTTGATAAATCTTAATTTTAATGAGAAAATTTATTTTATACTTTTTAAAATGAAATTTAACATAAAATTTAATTTTAATGTTAATTTACATGATTTATCAAAAACATTTGTCTGTCCAACGAAAATGTAAAACAATGTAAAAACCAACCCATTACATATAAAAACGTGAAATAAAATGATTATAAAACTGATAAATTATGTTGACCACATGTAAAAGTATGTTTCTTGCCAATGTGGAATGTATTGCAATATCGGAGTGCAAATAGATTTGGCAAATGGAATTGAATGTGCGGCGCCTTTCAAAATTTTATTTATACAATACTGTGCTTTACTTTCATAAAAAGGAGATTTAACTAAATATAAAAGTAGATTGACACATCTTCTGCTTAGTATTAACTTTTGTTTATCTGTAAGCAAATGTCTGTTTTCGTAATAAATACGAATGCTATAAAAATTTTGATTTAGTAATTAACTTCAAATTATATTCTAATTTTACCTAGCTATATCCAGAATTAATGCTACACCATAACTCTTCCATGACTTGTAACCAAATAAGCCAATAGTACCAAGGTGTAAAATTGGCTTCGCAATAAACAAACTCTCAGCCTTAGATAAAATTTTTTTCTTTCTATGTGGATCAAAATATACAGGCGTAGTAAAATCTCTTTCATTTGGTGGAGGTGCGCCATTTATTCTTCGAATAACCTTTCCAGATCGGAGTTTAAAAAATTTTGAGCCTTCAATTTCACCAACTTGATCATTTTCTTCAATAGATTTATTAACGTTCTTTCGGTCTAAAGCTGATATAGGAGGTGTTGTTATAATACAGTTCCTGGATTTTTGAAGCAAGTAAAATCTTCCAATTGATCTTAAAGTAATTTTCAAAAAAAAAATTGATATTTTTTTCCAAGCATTTTTTTAATGTACAAACTTTGTTATTTGGATAATGGTAATAAAAAACCAGCGTCCTTTTTGTCCCCATAATTTGTTTGCTGTAATTTCTATAAAAACTTCACAAAACTCCAAAGTAGTCAACATCAATTTCATTTTATAGACCACATCGTTGACTAAAGGATTTACACACATTGCTTTTTCGATTATTCTGTCGTTTAGTAATGCCAGCAAATTTGATAATGAGTAAATTAATTCAGTTGTGATTGATGAATTTGAAATTCTTCCTAAAATAATTTTTTGAAAATGTTTTTTTTTTTTTTTTAAGTTTACTTACCAGCCAAAAAGTATGAAGCCCATTTAAAAGTCGTCTCAAAATCGCCAACGGTTTGAGGATTCTCGCTAACCCAAGTTTTGTACGCTTCAAATAATTTTTTTGCAGAAATTGTAATAGCCGACATGATTTCATAAAAAAAGTCCTCAAACAAAGTATAATTTTTATTAATTTGTAATTGTTAAGGCAACTGTATTTTTTTTTTAAATAAAAAGGGAACCATCACTGCTGCATTTCATTTGTAAGTTATAAGTCAAAGTTTTGTCAAATCTTGATATAACAAAAATATAATAGCTGTGGTCTGGTTTGCATAAATATACCCATCAAACGTTCAAGAAATGTCAGTTTAAATGTGAATTCCATTGAATATAATTTTTGTTCCCGGCACAATGTTGTTAATTTTAACCAGTTTCTCAGTAGCATTTTGTCTTGAAAAAAGTAGTATGGAGAGTTTTAGCGTATAGTAATTTGGAGTTATCATTAACACCAAACAAATAGTAAGGTATGTGACTAAATCGATGCGCAGCATGAAGAGCTTGCGTAAAAATGTTTTTATATTCGTACATGTAAAATCAAGTCACCCAAATGAGTTACGCGCCTACGCAACGTATTGATATTTTCGATTTTGGCAACGGTAGGTACATTGTTTCTGCCTTTTGATTGCTCTTCTTTTAATGTCAAATTGATCTGGTTACTGTCAATCTACATATTGATCTACATTAACAATATAAACTTTTTTTTGGAAAATAATTTTTAATTTTAGAAAAACAAAAATTTTATATGCAAGTGGTTTTTTCAACAATACAATTATGGCATTTTCATAAACCAATGCAAATAACGACATTTTAATATAAAGGGAAAAAAGTAGTAAAAATAGCTTTGTAGTAGTATAGTAGTATAGCAAAATATTACAATTGTAGTAAAATTAACAACACTGTTCCAGCATTGTTAAAGTCGTAACAGGAGCGTATTTATTTTATTTGTTTGCCTGATTTCCGCTATAAAATATGTGGCATGTGTAAGAAAAATAAGTTCAAAACTTATTTTAAAGCAAAACTAAAAAATATTTTAAAATATTAATTTTATTTGAAATACCTACCTGTAAAATAAAATTAAATTTAAACAAAACTCGATAACTCTTTTTTTCTTTGAATAAATTTATTTTATAAATTAAAATTAAATATACGTATTTTTATATGTATTACATCTTACAAGCCTTGAACTAAATATATTTTTCTTTTGATATTTTCTACTGTTACTTGTAATGGATTTTTTGTTGCTGACGATGATGTTAGCAAAACATTCTTCAATGCAATAGTTGAAATTCGGATACAATGATGCGTCCAAAACCGCACTGCCACCTCCTAGGGGTGAATGCCGGTAAGGGCGGAGGATAAAGGGGTGATTGAAACGATAAACGTTACGTTTATGTTGTGGTCATGTCTCGCGACGAATCCCTTGCTCTATGAGTTTCAGCCCTAGATCTATACGTCAGCTATCGACAGGCGTCCCCTGTAAAGGTGGAACAGCATAGCCAATGACTGCGTGGATAAGGGGGGACTTAGTCGTCAAAATGCGGGGCTCTGGATACCAAGCGACCTCCAGTTTAAACAAGCCTTCCCATGGTATGCCGAGCTCTGCCATGGATGACAACCCAAGTAACAATTTTTATCTCACAAGACTCTTGTAGAGCTATATTAAGAATTCTTTAAGAATATTACTCTTATAATTTCAGTCTTGTAAAACACTAAAAGACCCTAATGAAATCTTGCTAAGAGCAAAAGAGCGCAATTACTAGAGTTATTAATTCTTGTAATGAGAGTTAAGCTCCATTAAAAGAGTTTTTAAAGAATATAACTCTCATACTAGTTTTGGTATACAAAACTCTCACAAACCATTTATAATAGTGTTACTAGAAAAAGAAAGCAATTCATTGTAGAATAAATATATCGGTCTTACTTCGGACTTTATAAAAAATATATCTACTCCACTTTTATAAAAATGAAACAAAATACACATATGTTGACGTATATGATATTGGGAAAAACGGATCTGCTTCAGGATTTGTCGTTGGAGGGGCTAGTGCGGTACCTAGGACGGCAAAAGAGGCTGTGTAAGGGCAGACGCCCACCAAAATGCGTAAGAAGGTGACAAAAGAAAAAAAGGCCCATTTAAAGCTTTTGTCTAAAGGACCAAAGCCCATAGACAAGAGCCGGGGAAAATAATATGGCTGCGAGGTGCAATCAAAGAAATCTACAGCATGCTACCGCATCAGATTAAGTTTTGATACCATGGTTTCCGGGGTCCTAGCAGAAGAAACATATCACGTGCGCCAATCCACAGATTGGAGTCAATTCGAAACGCTCCTCGTGGATGGGTTTGGATCCATTCCTACTTTTATCAGAACGCTAATGGATATTGAACTGGCTAGCGAGGCCCTGATGCTGGCTATTACTACTGCCTAGCGGAGCAATAGAAAGTGCCCGTGGTAGAATGAGGGGCTTTCAAAGCTTATACTAAGACCAGAAAGCTATTCAACAAGGCCAAGGCGCCGGGCTCGTGGGAAGAGTACAAAGATTCACTCACTAAACGTAGTAAAGAAATTAGGAAAGCGATGTAGTTCGTGGAGGTCGTTCTGAAAGGGCATTGATGAACTCTCTAGCAGTGCGCCCCTTCACAGGGTACTTTCCAAAAAGTATGCTAGCGGGTTGGGCCTAATGGAATAGCCTGATGGCTCCATGACTGAAAACGAAAGGCAGACGTTGAAGCTAATGGCCTTAACGCATTTTCCTGACTCGGAGATTCTTCGGAATCATTCAAGTGCGGTCGATGAACCAAGGGCATCCTGGCCCAGAAGAGATGACTTCAATTCTCCGGATGATGATCAGAGGGGTTTCCAACATATCGCCAGGGTGCTGTTGGAAATTTTTCGTGCCAGCTATGTGAGGTTACAATCCCCAGGCATGGAGGGTGGCTGAAGTGACGTATATTCCGAAGGCAGGTAAACGACCAAGCAGCCGCCCAAGGTCTTTCCATCCCTTCAACCTTACATCTTTTCTACTCGTATTGAAAGCAATGAAAAAGGTAATGGATACATTCATACGGGACGATGCACTGGGAAACAATCCCTTGCATGAGTCTCAGTACGTCTATCAATCAGGAAGGTCTACTGCACTCGCTCTGCAGAGTCTAGAGTACTTAAGAGACATTGGAAGTTCGGGAGGTGGCAGCTGGCTGCTTTCTTGATATTGATGGGCCTCCTTTTGACAACATTCTATATCACACCATCTGTGGGTCATTGCACAAATAAGGTGGTAAGATGGGTTAATCAGATGCTACAGGATAGGATTATTAAGTTCACCATAGCTGATGGTACACTCTTCATCTCCGCTGTGTTCTTTCGCCCCTTCTGTTGTCCGTTGTAGTAAATGATCTACGAGGTTACGCCGATGATGTGGTCTTCGTCATACGAGGCAAATTTGAGTGCACTATTTCTGCTTTTCTACAGCAAAATTTAGCTGTTGAAAGGGCGTGCGAATGCTTTGGGTTAAATATAAATTCCAGCAAGAGCACTTTGGTTGCCTTCACCAGACGCAGAGATAAATTAACTTAGTTACTCCAGGGAGGTGAAGTATCTGGGGATAACTCTGAATAAATCGGCTCTCCTGGAATACCCGTAAAGATAGAGTGATCGGGAGGGTGAAAGCGCCCTCATGGACGCATAGGAGCTTTATCGGTGGGCCCTGGGAGATCAGTCCCAGGATAGCACTGAGGCTATATACGGCCCTTGCTAAGCCCATCGTCCTCTACGTTTCAATTGTATCATGCCGTAAGGGTCAGCAAGCGCGTGTGCGGGCCAAGCTGGAAAAGCTGCAGAAATTGGGTTGCCTAGGAGTGACCGGGTCAATGCGGATGGCTCCTGCCGCTGCATTGGAGGTGATAATTGGATTGCCACCACTGCACCTACATATGTGAAGGAAGCTCGGCTAATGACTTGTCGACTTCTGATGAGGAGATATAATGTATTGTTATAATGCATACAGATCCGTACAGATGTAACATCCGTATTAACTTTTACATAAAACAACCAGTGTTACTTACTTAAATCGACTCGTACAACTGTACTGATCTTCTTTTATTTAATACTATTTATAGATATATTTTTACCATTCTTCTTTTTTGCATTTTAAACTTATATTCAGGTTAGTACTTACATAAGATTCTTATTACATTTATTTTACAGGTAATATATTTATGACCATATATTTCGGGTTATGATATTTGATATATTTATGTCATACTATTTTGGATTATGGAAATGCCCAATTTTGCATTGATTATTTTTGGATGTAAATTTATGAAGGTTTATTTAGGATTGTATAATGCAATTAGAAATTGAAGATGTTCTTTAAACTAAACAAATTATATGTGAAGTTTAAAATGTTATTGAGAAATTTTTAAGGGATAAAATTGAAATGTTTTAGAACAATATTAAATGCATTACAGACAGAGCAGGGCGAAAGTGGGCCCACAGGATTCACAGAGATTTCATTGAGAACGATCCGATTCTAAAAATAACCATGTCGGATGCCTGTCTGCCAGGGGTTCTGTTTCCCGATCGATGGACGTGGGATCGGGATGGCAGACCGGTCTAAAACCGAGTCGGGTGTGGGTTTGGGTGTATACGGTGTCCGCACGTACACGTGTATGTATACGACCCTGGACCCATATTGCACGGTATTCAAAACCGAAATACATGCAATAGAGTCAATTTAGAAAGTCTGAGAGTCAATTTAGAAAGTGAAACACGAAAAACCGGCGTTGCAATTGTTTTGGACAGGGATTCCCAAGCGTTCGGGAACCCTCTATCCAATACCCTTGGGGATATTTCCAGGTTTATAGTTGGGACAGGGATATTATAAGTGGGAGAGCGAGGGGGCTACAATGGCTGGAAGTCAAGAATGGCTGGAAGTGAAGAATGACTGCGGTGACTCAGGGGGTTGCTCCTGCCCCACTCGGTTCAAATTATTGCAAAAAATTTCTTTTTATAAGTATATCGAATCTAAAATAGAAAACTCAATATGAAAGCCGCCTCGAAGCAAGAAATTGAACCAAAAATGTCAAGAAACCAAAAAACATGTAAAAAAACTCTGATAAAAATTTTTCCAACGGAGATGATTTTTCAGATTTTAACACAAACGGGTCAGCGCGGTCCATCACTACCAGAAGAACTGCAGAGAAGCGGAAAACTAAATCTTAACCGGAGATAAGCCTAAATACAATAATACTGTAAAGGGAAGTTTCAGAATACTAATTGTTGCCACAGCAACCCTAGGTGTAGCGAAAACAAATTGCAGCACAAAAATGGAAATAACAATAACAACATAACAGTTTGTTAAAAATAAC